TGGACTATGCAGTTAGAAGAAATTTATAGCATTTGCCTGATTTGCAATTGAGATTGCTAAACACATTAGTATTACAAGATTACATATTCCTTTTAAAGTCTATTTCACAATCTCTCTATAATTGCCTCATTATATAAAATGTACTGTTCTCTAAAATACTGAAGAGAACTTGAATTTGTCTATGTGATGAAATTCAAGGGAAAAAATTTTTTTACTGCAGTTCAGAAATAAAGCATAGATATTGGGACTCTAACTCAATCCCCAAAGGCCAAAAATCATAGAAATACTACCTATCATTTTTAAAATTGAAACATAATTGTCATGTTAGTTTTGGGTACACAACATAATGATTCTGTGTCTGTATGTATTGCAAAATAATCACCGCAGTAAGTCTAGTGTCTAAATAATGTAAATCACCATACAATTTTTTTCTTATGACTATGACTCTTAAGATCTATTTTCTTAGTAATTTTCAAATATTTAATACAATGCTATCACCTTTGGGCACCGTGCTATGTACAACATCTCCAGACTTAGTAGTGAAAGTTGTATTTCTTCACCTCCTTTACACATTTGCATGTCCCCAGTCTGCATGTCTGGCAACCACAGGTACAGATATCTACAGACTTCATTTGTCATTGTTACCTTGTCTGGTTTCAGATTCCACATATAAGTGATACCATAACAGTATTTTGTTTCTGTCTTATTTCACGTGGCATAATATCTATCTTTAATTACATTCTCTAGTCATTCCTCAACCCAACTTTGCTTTACCTACCAAGATTCCTTTTAAAAAATAAGAAGGGGGAATTCTTGAAGGTGCAAGGGTTAAAGACACAGCACTATCAAGCTAGCTCTATCCACTCAGTATGAGTGCAATCCCAGGCCAGGGAGCTAATCCATGTGGCTCAGCAGACATCTCCTAGAATGCTCTCTGCTCTTCTCAGCAGTGTATTTCAGCACATTTGCCTGTTCTACACCCCAGTCTGTCTCTGGTGAATCCTCTCATCCCATGTACCTCTCACCCCCTGTACCTCTACACCCCAGTTCCTGTATGCATAAAAATAAGTCTTTTAAATAAATGAGAACATGTAATGTAAATATACAATGGAATACTACTCAGCTATGAAAAATAGATGAAATCTTAACGATAAACAACACAGATGCAACTGGAGGATTGTGTGAAGTGAAATAAATGAGGAGAAAAACAAGTAATGGTTTCACTTACACATGTGGAATATAGAGAAATAAGCCAAAGGGACAAAACTAAATGGGGAGAAAAAAAAAAACAAAAAACAAAAAACCTAGAAATCTGATGGTAAAGAAAAGCTACCAGAAGAAGTCATGAGGGACCCATGAGACTATAGTGTAGAATTATGAGTACCTTGGTGGTAGGCATAGGTATTATTATACACCCCTGAATCATACACAATGCAGTAAAACAATATTTCTTCAATAAAATAAAATTTTAATTTTTACAAAGTAAAAAAAGAATACTTCTAAAAAGCAATTAGAACTTTTTATGCTTATCAATACAATGTTTATTCTTCTGACTAATTATATCAAAATGGTACCATAGCTCTATTTTTCCCCTTCTTACAGGAAATCTGCTTTTTTCTTATATTTTGTATAGTAGATAATTGAAGTAAAATCATATTTTTAGCCTGTGTTTGAAGTAGATATATTGAGATTTCACTAGAAAACTGTGTAACTTTATGCTACCCTTTTACCTTGTGAACCTAATCTTGAAAAAATAACTTGAGTAGTTTTTGTTGTTGAAAGGCAAATATATACTAGTTTAACTACTCTTTGATTAAAATAATCCGTTATGAGTACTTGTGAATTTTTCTTTCTTTATTGAGGTTAAGCCTGTTTATAACACTATTTATGATCTATAATTCATCCTATTCATGTCACAATTGACCACCAACTCACCAACTCACCTACAGACCACTGGGCTCCCAGACCTCCTCCTCTGGTAGTTTCAATTCTAGTCATTTACATATATGTATGTGTGTACATATATGTGTTTATGTATGTATCTCCACATAGAAAACAATCTCATGATAAGACTGCCCAGCTGGTAGTCCTGAATATTTAAGATTGAAGTGAATTTAATTTGCCTTTATGGGCTTTATGTGTGTTTGTTTCCTTGCCTGTTTTTAGATTCCACATGTAAGTGAGACCATAACAATACTTTGTTTCTCTGTGATTTCACATGGCATTTGCAGTCTGCAGGCGATCTGAGACACCATTCTTTTTGTTTGTGTGTTTTTTCCGGCAGTAATAGAAGAGTGATTTCTATACATAAACAACTTGATAATTATGCCTAAAGGGGATTTAAAATCCTTTTTGTTTTTGGAAATGCTCCACATTGCCACAGTGGTAGGAGTGATTTGAAAACCTTCTTTCAAGTTTTTAATAAAATAATGTGCAAGTTAAAGTAATAAAATGGGTAATTTTGCACTATACCCCTATGTTCCCTTTTCCTAAGTATCCTCTCCTTCCCCTCATCTCCTTCCTTGGACTTGTACCATATCACTCTTTTTTACCTTTATACTTCTATCAATGCAGAAATTTTTAGAGTATCCTTTTCAGTTGTTCCCAGTTCTGAATTCTCATTAAATGGAATATGATACCATTTTATTATAGTGGCATAGAATTCTTTTGTTCAACATGTTTTTGATATACATGCACACTGATGTCAATAGCTGAAGTCATTCCTTTTCCCAACAGCATGTCATGCCGATATATAAACATATCCATTTATACCCATTCTATTATTGCTAGAGGTTTGAGCTATCTCCAGTTTGACGCTATTACCAAAGAATTACTGTGCATGGTCTTTGATGTGACTTCTGTTGCACAAGCACAAGTACCTCCCTGGGGAAAGCCCCTAGGAAAGGGGTTACTTGATTATAGGAAAGGTACAAGGTAAATTTTTATAATTAATGATAAGTCAATTATACCATTATACTCTCACCAGTTATGAGTGAGATTTCCTGATAAACAAGAGAAACAGAATGGTTTAACTGTTAATGCGGAAAATTTGAAATTCTCTTATACACAATTGAAACTGTTCGAGCTGAGTCAGTTACCAAAAATTTTTTTTCCCTACTCTAAGTCAAAATTCCTAATTATAATATTATAATTTTAAAGTAAAGCTTTCATATTTACCCCATCACAATTTATTAAGGAAAAGACTCATACAACAGAGATCTAGTTATTCTTCAACAATGATAGCCAACTCTCTGTAAACTATTAAAGTCATCTATACTCTGATCATATCTCCTTTGTTATTTACCAAGTCCTCTTTTTCTCTGATATCCTGCAGCTCATAAAAATGTGTTTAATTGTAGATTCATGTGATTTATCTAGTGGTGAATTGCTCAGGATTACTGTGACTGAGAACATTCTACTATCTTTTAACAATACCAGAAAAAAAAAATCCCATTTTTGTCTTTCCTCCATATCTCCACCGGAAGCCCACTGAACATGAATTATATCTTCCTGCTCTGTCTTCCATGTTGCCTGCATATTTTACATTATTTTATTCATATTTCCCCATATTCAGTTTTCTGGATTTAACTATAGATAATTTCTTTATTCCTAACTTCCAGTGTACTAATTTTTGCTTCAGTTGTGTCTAACATGGTTTTAAATGCACCTACTGAGTTTTTTTTAGGCATTATGTGAACTGAATTAGAATTTTTCTGATTCTTTTACAATTCTCTATCTCTGCCTCACATGGTTAAAATCTCTTTTATATAATTATGTTAAGCACTGTCACTTACTGCATGTCTGAAAATTTGCTAACTGACAACACACTTGATTTTTTTCATCTATTAAATTCTATTGGATTTTAGCCACCTTACTTAGTTTTCCTCTGCAAGGTGAGGTTGGGGAGGGGTTTGGTTTTGTTTTGTACATTTTGTTTTGTCTGGTTTTTATTGTTAGCCACTCCTTCTCCAGAACACTCTGCCTTGGAAATTCTTTAACAAAGGGAATGAAATTGACTTCTTCCATGGAGGCACAGTTTTCTTGTTCCCTGCTATTGTTGACAATACATTTAAGTTAAATACACCACCTACATTTTGTTCAATCTATGCACATAACATGACAGGCACATTTCTCTCTTTCCTGAGTCTAGTCATATGCTTAATTTTTTAAGAAATAATTTTAAAATATTTAACATACATTTCGAAAGTTTCAGAGGGCTCACTTGGGGTGTTTTATTTGTTGTAATGTCAGAACTAAAAATACACTAACATTTGGAACCTTTTTTATTTTCCTGTATTATTTTTTAACCTATTATTGGTAAGTTATGAGAGGATAGAGTTAGATTCAAGGTTACATTTTCAAATACAAGATTTCTGGTTTACAAGGACTCATGGTTACTGCACTTCTGGGAGCTACTGGACTCTGGCAGAGAAACAACTAGGTGCCCTTATCAATTCTCAGAGGTAGACCCTAGACTACAGAAAGCTATTAGTACTAAAGAGAGTACAAGGCACCAAACCCTAAATTTCCACCCACTTTTAAATTTTCTCAGTTATCAGTCTTTAACTTTCAAGTTTTGCCACATTAAAGGGGGGGGGGACTGTAGATGTGACCAAGGACTGAGGCTTTACAAGGATGTCCAAGGCAGCTGTCTAAGTCCTCACTTTCGCTGCTGCTTTTCTGTTTTCATGATTGTTTCTCTTACTCTGTCACCATCATCTGTTGGTATTGGTGATCACTGAGAACAAGTTCTCTCCTTGGTCTAACCCCTCAGCTTTTCTTTCTCTGTGGTATTGTGCTCCTTCACATACCTTTTCCCACTTGGGATCATTTTCATTTGCTCTCTTCCTGGATCTCTGACACCTCTAGTTACCTGTCATCCTCCTTGGGCACCTGCCTTTTCTAGAACTATAAGTTAGTGAGAAGAAATCAAGAGGACATTTCTTGCTCCTTCGGAAAAATGTATATGATTGCTCAAATTAGATAGCTGAGAAGGTTACCTGAATCGGTCTTCCGTCAGGTGTCAACACTTCTTCAGAAAGTTCCATCATCTTCAGGGCCATCAGGGCAATGGGCTTGGCATGGCAGAGACTCTTCCTGTGCAGTCCTGCGGCAACACAGTAGGCATCACCTATTGTTTCCACCTGCAGCAATCAAACGGATCACAAGCAAATGTAAGATAATGAGCCAGAATAGCAATGATTAGTTATCTGCAATCACAACTGCTGTTGAAAACATGTCAACACAACATCAATAAATTAAGCAATTAGACAACTGAGTGTAATCACAGCAGGGTTTGCAAACAATCATAGTCAAATGCTAACATCTCACTCCAGGATTGTTGAACAACATTATCACCATAGATGATCACTGATAATAGAACGCCAGAATATAAAATCACTATCCCCCACACAAATGGAATGATCAATAATTTGCAAAAATTATCCAAATTATAACCTTTTACAAAGCAACACTCTAGTCTCCCACCAACTTTCAAGTAGAAAGTCATTCACTGAAAAGTCATTTTCCTCAATTTTTCTACCTTTCCAATTGTACCACACTTTTTGAAATCTATAATTTATTGTCATCTATTCTTAGTTACTATGAATAACTTAATTTTTACCATTTCTAGAATTCATGCTCTGTGTCATTAAGTACACTGATCACATAATAAGCACACTGACCACATAATAAGCACTCTCTTTTAACCTTAATTGGAAGAAATTGGTAGTAACTCTATTTGAGAGATGAGAAATTGATGTGCAGAAACTCATCAGTAATCCTACAGAGTTAAAAGGTACTGTTAGAGTCTTAACAGACCTTTACCTAGTCCTACTGTCAGCTCCTTTGTGAATGGCTGTTGCTTTGCTAATATTTTAAAATTTCACCCTAAGTTATAATCACTAAATTCCCAATGCATATAATATAGCATAAATGTTTAGGGCCACCCTATTTGCACCCAATATAAACATGTTAGTAATCTCCTTAATTATTTCAATATTTTTACTGAACAAAGTGGTAACATTTTATCATATGCCTCATCCCAGTATCACCTTCCGTGAAGTTCTTCATGGCCCTTCTATAAGTTCTAGCTAAATTCTTTTTACTACTGTTTCAATAGCATTTTCTACCACACTTCTCTGTTGTGATTTCAACATAAGGTATAACTAATATGCATTTACATAGGATCAAATGCACACACAAACATAATGTGTACTCTTTAAGACTGGGCCAGGTAGTTTTCATTTCTTTATTAACAGTATCTAATATAGTTTATCAGTATCTAATATAGCTATTTATTAAATATCTTCCAAATGTGACTGAATAAACAAAGGTTTATGTGTTATAAAGAGATCTGTGTAGGAGTAAACTGTCTCTAAATGCAGACTGTGCTTCTATAATAAACAAGAATTATAAAAATATTAGACTTAATAGCTGTAATTAAATTTTGTGTGAATGCATTCTAATTTTATACCATTAAAAACATGTACTACTTTAAATTCTTTGAGCACTAATTTAGGGAATATGACAAGAACAATTACGAAGCTCATGTGATTAGAAATGCCAAAATTGTAATTTGGTTATCAGAATGTTACCAGGGTATATACATCAAATATGCTGCAAATACCCTCAGATCTGCCAGGAAGTTCAAAATTTACTCTTCGAGAACCACATCTTTTTTTTTTTTTTAATATCTGTAGAGAATTATTTATTTATGCATACAAAGCTGGGGTAAAGGCCAGAGGTGCAAGGGCAGTGAAAGAATGAGAAACAGAACAGGCAGATGGATGAAGTACACTGCTGAGGGAAGCAGCAGGTGAGACGGGAGAAGTCTGCTGCGCATGTGCGTCACCCCCGGGGGCCAGGGATCTAACTCGCACTGAGGCAGCTGTGGCCAGCTTCCTAACCTGCTGTGCCACCAGGGAGGTACCAAGAAGCATTTCTGATGCTACAAAAAAGGAAATAAAATCAGATAATTCTGACTTTTTGTTTTGTTACAAATCCGATGTAGAATCAAGGCCACAAGAAGGGGGAGGAGAAACATGGTGTGAAGGGGTACAAGGACTCTGGTACGTTAGTGGCCGGTGTGGTGACAGGCATCTGGGGAAGTGTGACCCCGTGCCTCTGAATCACATACAATATTATAAACCAATGTAACCTCAATGAAAAAAAAATAAACATTGGAGTCTATAAAACGAAACAGAAAGGCCCTCCCTGGTGGCGCAGCGGGTTAAAGCACTGCACTAAGAAACTAAAGCCACTTCCGCATGAGTTCGATTCCTGCCTGCCCCGGAGGCGGCCACATGGCAAGGCAGACCTCTCCTGGCCCGCCTGCTGCTCCCCTCAGCAGTGTACTTCATCGATCTGCCTGTTCTGCTTCCCACTCTGTCTCTGGTGAATCCTCTCACCCTCCGCATCTCTGGCCTGTACCCCAGTTCTGTACGAATAAATAAATAAATCTTTAAAAAAAAAGAAAAACAGAAAAATATAGATGGTAAGAACACAAGAACAATGCAGTGTATGCTACTGAAGGTTTTACTCCAAAAATATTCTTCCCCAAAAAGTACCCAAGGAAAACACCTGCAAATAATAACCTCTAAACTGAGGTCATTTACCATTTGACCCCTAAAAATGTAATGGTCTTTGATAACCCCCACATTTATCTCATCCCTTTGGATATCTTCACAGTTTTAAAATCTACAAGGCTATTACATATGTACTTTGAATCTCACTGCTGAGAGTATTCACAGAAGCAGGTAAATTGTCTGTCTGAACTGAACAGCTTTACAGAACACTGGACATGTATGCCTTTGGAACATGACCCCTTGAAATCTTTGCCATCTTCCTTCTCCTCCTCCTTGACATTAGCATCACAGCATTGTTCAGTGGGTTCCATTCAATGTGTACTGCTAGAGTTTACCACAAGAATACGTAAAGATTGGTTATAGGTTGCATTTTATTTCTTAGCTCTGGGTAATGGACTAGTATGAAGAGGAGGGACTGAGAAAAGGAGGACTGTAACACATAAGACCAATGAAATATGCATGCGAATCATGTGAGCAACATAAATATAACACATTCTCATTAAAATTCTTACATGGCACTGAAAGATTCTGTAGTGTTTAGCTTCCAAATATTTGAAGGTGTATTAGCTATCAGAAACAATAGGATCAATAAGAATAAAGCTTGGCATCAAAAAGCAATGAACCGTATTAATGTGTGGGTTTCTTACAACTATTAATAAATACTCAACATACAGGGAAGGGGGGAATTTCTTTCCATACTGACAGGCTAGACATGTTACAGTCACAACATAGCCTCCAAATCTCAATGCCCTGTAGTAACAAAGATAAATTTCTGATCCATGCTACCTATTCATTTGGGTGAAGGGGTTGGAGTAGCAGAGACAGACATGGAGTCAGCTCTCTTCACTCCAGAAAGAAGCCTAGTAGAACAAACCTCCTCATTTGCAGCTGGTTGCCATGGCAGAGGAAATGAGGTTCCAACAAAATGAACACTAGCTCTCAAAGCTTTTTCCCAGATGTACCATATGGAACTTCTCTGGATTCATTCACCAGTGCAAATGCATGGCCATGCTTAACACAAAGACAAGAGGACAACACAACCCATTTGCGCCTACCAACAAAAATAGTTGAAAGGCATCCCTCCCCTCAAGGATGATGCTCAGGAGTCCAGTCATCAAGCCCCCAGAGGTCTGTGAAATACAGACTTTGTATCTTATCTGAAAAGAACAGGTAATAATCTGAGAGGTACTTTTTTCCTCTTGCAGATATTCAGCATCTTAACCTAAAATCCATGGCAGGAACACTACCACCTTGCTGATGCTGCTTTCCACTACACCACAGTCCACTTTTGCTCCCCCTTCACCTAAATCAAGTCCATGCAAGTTCAGCAGAATTAAATACACGTGGCCATTTTCCCTTCAAGATAATCAACTTTGTTTCAGGAGGAACAGGGAAAGTAAAAACATTTATATCAATTTCAGTTGTTTTTGAAGTTTTTTTCTGCACTTAACCAAATTTGGGTAAACAAATGGATATTGTAAACAAGCAACAAAGAAACTCCCCAAATTTGACTGTATCCTGAAATCCTTTAAAATTGCCTCAGTTTCTTAATTTTAATACAACTAACACCATCTAAAATAGTGCATGTCATTTATTTTTAGCATCAACAATCTGTTCTTGAATGACATTAATTAAGAATACTGGTGGCTAAACTAGGCACAGAAAGGACAGAGCTTATGCAAATGTCTGAGAAACATTGCATCTTTTTTTCTGAACATGAAAGAGGTTTCAGCACTAAAAGTACTATATATAACTATTGTCCCACATGTTATTTAAACAAACTTTAAGGATTATCCTATCTTAATATGTTGCCTTCTCAACACTTTAGAATCAAAAACCTCATATTACTCCAGAACTATAGGTGATATCAATACATTTCTTAGAGTTATGCATTTACCCTTGTTACTTTATATATTTTTTTGTTTCAAAGTAATCATTTAAAAGAACTTGTTTCAGCTCCTAAAAGCATCTCATTCTCATAATATTCCTCACCCTCCCTCTAGGCTAACACACACAAGTTGAGCGGCTTCTCCATATGCAGAGACAAGATGGCGGAAGAAGGTGTGTTGCAGGGGCGGTGTCGGGCAAGGATTATTCTACAACACTGCACACAACCCGGCTGCAGCTGGCCCTGCCGCATGGGCTCCTGCCCACCGCGGCCCTGAGACCCACGTCCTGGCTCTGTTTTCCTTTGAACTAAGACTAGGGAAAGGAAGTCTGAGGAGGGTGCCTGAGGGAGAGGGTGAGAACATACTGGCAGTCGGCAGTATGGGACGACCTAGATGCCCTCTCTGGACCAATCAAGAGGAGAAGCACCCTTGAAGTCTGCTTTCCTGGTTGCTTTGCTTTTTTTTCTTTTTCTTTTTCTTTTCTTTTTTTGGTCTCTAATGCGTTTGAAAAACAGAAAGAAAGGGAAATAGGGCCTAGAGGAGGAGCGGTAGTAGAATAAAAATAGGCAAACAGATGAAACCTAAAAATCAAAAATGTCTTCTTTCTAGTGTAGCCTCTCATAGGCCCTTAGTCACCGGGTGATGTTCAGATGGGTGGAAAGGGCTGAC